GGTTCAGAGGAATTTGCACCACTGCATCTTCACTGCTAAATACATCTTTATTCCATTGATTTTGTTACGAAGGCAGGAACTTGCATTCAAGTACAGTTGGTACAAGGATGTAACCATTACTGCTGCCGTTTTGGTTTTAAATCAAATACAGCAAGTGTTTCTGACTCAGAGAATTGTGACATTTTCACCAACTTTGTTCTGTCGGTGCCTTTCGATGAGCTTTAGTGCTCACCAGGCAGTCACGAATCCAGGAGACCCGTGTTGGTTCCCAGTTATGTCTCTTTTTCTCCTATATAGGACCAAAATTGTGGCGTTTTGCCTCAATGACTGTGGCATCCACATCAGAGCGAGGGGCAATGTGGTGTGAGACTGAGCCCCGTGCTCCTGCCTGGACCATAAACTGACATTGGTTTTGTGGCAGCTGGCAAAGATGAGGTCACTTCCCATTGCCTCTGAGAAATATTTTATTTTTTCTTCTAAAAAAGGCAATTCTGCAGTTTCTGTGGGTGCTCTGTTCAAACCCCTTCCAAGAGGAAAGCGGGAGATGTGGTATTGATTTTCCAGTGTGCAGGTGGCTCAGGCATGTTCTCCGCACCGTTAGAATGTGAGCAGATGCTTCGTAACTGTAATAGAAAATCAAGGATGCTTCTAACATCACTGACTTCCCCCCGTGTTTTGGCAGAGAACCTTGGCCCAAGCAGATGTGGAGGAGAGAGTGTGGAATATGAAGTATGTCAACATCATTAATATTAAAATATGGTCCACTGTGTGGCAGAAGTACTGTTACTGAGGCTTCTACTTCCATGGTTTTTATATCCACCCATGACTTTTTTGCCAGTGTGTAGAACCGTGGTACCCAGTTTCACACAGTTAGGAAGGATGGGTTGAATTAAACCCTACAACACAGGTAGCTTTCCTGCTTTGGTCACTGCTTCCCCTGGTGACCAGTCTGCTTCTGTCTCTGTTTTGGGTGTACTGTCATTTTTACTCTTTTTAGTTGTCTGATTTCTCTATCTCCCATGGTTTTGTGTCCCATCATGTGATTCTTCAGAGTTGCTGTAGCACAGCAGATACATCCCAAAAGTTAAACAGCTGAAGTGGTCCAGGTGAGTGGGACTGTGCAAGCACCAGCTTTGACAGCCATCCCTGTCAGAGTAGGTGATGAATTTGCTTCCAGACCTTCCAGAGATCCTTGGGCTTAGAAAACATCATAGGTGAAGAAGGTAGAGGTGAAAACTCCTCTCCTCTATGCAGCAAGTGCAGAGGAGCTGTGGAAGTGCCTGGCCCTTCTCTATTCCCCTCCTGACTGAAAACTGGGCTGGAGAGCAGAGAATAAATGGACACTTGAGCAGTTTTCAGCTTCCCACATGGATTTTGTTATTCTGTCGTATGTCATGAATAAGCTGACTTTTGCAAGACGTTTTTTTTTTGCCAGAGGGTTATTTACTGTACTTCGATGTAATAACGCTGCACTGTTGCATTATATTTGGAAATAATTCTATTGTGTTAAGTAGTTTGTATGCAAATACCTTATGAGGAGAAAAAATCCCCCACATAATCTTGATTTTTACATCACTTATTCCTTCACTTCTTTGAAAATTATGTCTTGTTACAAAATCACTTCCACTAACTACTGTTGCATCACCAGTACCCGACCATGAATATGCGTTCCTGGGAAGGAGAGGGTGACAGAAACAAACACCTACTCTAATGTGTCATTAGAAATCAAACAGACCTAAAACTTGCTTCTGCTTGCCAATGCTCACATCTTCTAAAAGTCTGTCTCCAGCAGCAAGACCCAGGATGCATCCAGATTACAGAAACTGTGCCTGCATGCCAATGAAATATCATTGGAACAATTTAAGGTTATAGGTTTGCACGGTGCTCGCAAAGCTGTTTGTTTATGTATTGGATTAAAATCTTCGTTTTTCCACCTCTATTTGCTCAACCCAAGTGAGTACTTAGATCAGTTAAACAGAGTTCTCCATTCATTTCCACTGGCTGTATCCTTTGTGCCTTGACATCCGCTTCTGTATAAACCCTCTCTTTGTTTTGTTTCGAGGTGCTTCTTCAGGCTTTATCAGGGAACAAGTGGCGATCTCTAATATCTTCAAAAGTGGGCTGGATAAAATAGCAGTAATGTGATACTGACACTTAAAGGTCACCAAAAGGCGCTGCTGAAACCCCCCCTGAGCAGGATGGGAGTAGCTGCCTTCGGAAAGGGAGGCTGCCTGCGTTTGTCTTTCAATACTGAGGGTTTTTTTTCTTTTTGAAGTGTCTATTTTTGGTAAGTCACAGTAGTGGCTCTGCTTTGTGGAATGATGGTGGAAGCTCTACGTAGGTGTTAAGTATGTTACACGTAGAGTGTTAGCAAAATGACCTTTTAAGTTCCACTTTATTGTCAACACCAGTCTTTTTGGTTATCAACAGCGCTAGACTTTGACATCCTGAGCATCATTTGCAGTTTGATACTCTCTTGGTCATTCCCATCATTTTCTTTGGACACAATACCAGGGTATCATGTCCTATGTAGTTTGTCTTGTCTTGTGCAAGTTCCCTGGAAAGAAAAGAGATTTGCACTTGGATTTAAAAAATAAATACAAATCTCGGTAGGGCTCTTTCCGTTGACTTGGCCATGGCCTTTAGGCTCTCACAGAGAAACTTTCAAAAACCCTGCTGGGGGTTTAAGCCATGTGACTCCTGTTGATATTATAATGAGATTTACAGTGCTTAAAACCCACAGGGGACTGACTCCTTACTTGGCATCACATGGCGTTTCTGCAGTTATCCTGGTCTATGGGTAACGTGCACCATGTAAACGAATACACTGAGTTTTTTGGGGGGATTCTGTCAAACAGACTGAAATTGTAACTCTCATATGTAGTCTTCATGGAATTTAATGGCGTGTTAACATGAAAGCCTACTTTCTCACCCTGTGCTGTATTCAGATATGGAAACAGATGATAAAACTCATTATTTTCTGAATTATTATTTTCTGATGTGTACAGAGGGCATTTGACCATATGCCTGTCTGGCTGTGATGGACGGTGTTCCTTCAGCCATCCTCCCTCTTGCTCAGCTGAGGAAAGGTGTGGTGTAGCATTTTCTAATTTCCTTGCAAGGAATGTATTGGTCTCTTTGTTCCTTTCAAAATTTAACTGATAGAGGTTCTCCCCACTTGCATGTTTTTTTTTAAAAAACTGATTAAGTTAAACCAGTGTAATACTCGTTCTTAGAAAAGGCCTTTTTAAGGCTCTTCACCTACAGGTTTGTTGGTTTTTGGGTTTGGTTTTTTTTTTTTTAGGAAATTACTTTGCACACATACATACATATATATAATTATGCTTGAAGAACTATTTATAAACAACAAAAAATAAGATCTTAATGAAATAATGAATTAGGTTCATGTAGAACTTGTAATACCTTTTCCAGTCTGATCTGTACCTTCTTGATTTTTTTTTTAATTAAAAATAATTTTTAAAAAAACACCATCAATTATCTTCAGGTTCTTGTTGGGCCTAAAGTAAAAAATGGCAGAATCTGGGCAAGAATTTGTCTTGCAACTGCTTTCCATTTGGGATAACATCTCAGAGAGATGTTCCTTGGTGATTTTGCTATCCAGAGCATCAGAAATAATAGAAGAACACAATTTTGTTATAGTATGCAGGCAGATAATACTACAGAACAAGAATAAACAGCATTTCCACACATGTGTATAAAAGTAAAACGGCAAAAAGTAGGCGTTTATCCATGATGTTACCTGTAATCCAGGATAAAATAAGTCATAAAAGCCACACCTAGATGCTGGTATGTGTTCATATCCTTTGTGTATGTTTGAAGTTGATAATACAGCACAGGCATGCTGTAGCAAAAAGATTTGCTATGAAAAATAGATATGTTTGTGAGCATAAAATAGAGTTTTCAATATTATTTTGACATTTTATTTTTAAAGTCATCTCTAAGGTTATGGAAATTGTTGCAAAAATAATTCCTTTACTTAAGAAGTTTCCATGCAGAAGTTGAATAAAGAAGATATTTTAGAATATGGTTCATCAGTTAGTGCAACAGATACATTTCCCTGAGCACCACATGGCCCGGATCAAAGCGTCTCATGACTTGGATCAGTGCAGCCAAATCATTACGTATTGATTGGAATCCCGCTGAAGGATTAACCCCTTCGTGCTCGTACGAATTTTTTTCTTTAACCCTCGTGTCAGTAGTTAGAAAGCTCTGTGACATTCCTGCCAAATCTTACCAAGGTTAATAGCCCCCCCCCAACCCCTCATACTGAGGAATCCTTTGATTACACTGTTCCTTTTTTTTATGATGAATTTTGGATATGAAAATACACTTAGAATCTTCTTTACTGGGACATAAGGGGGCTGTACTTGTGCAAAGTAACAGTCTGTAAGAGTTTAAAAAAAAACAAACAACAAAACCCTGACCAGAAAAAACCCCACAAAAAGAAATTGCAGTAAATAAATAACATAAATATAATAAATAAATAAATAACATAATAAATAAAGCCAAGGCTGCAAACTCAGTGCTTTTCCTCTTTCTGTAGTGACGAGGAATACCTCAGGTCCAGTTGTATTGTGTTACAAGAATACACTGCTGTATGGAGATGACTTTTCTTCCTCATGAAGTTGGATTGTAAATATGCAATGTTCATAAATTTCTTAGCAAAATATCAAGCAGGATATTAAGCGGGTCTGTCAAATGATTTCTCCCCCGTCCATGTTAATTTAAAATCTTTACAAAGCTTTTAATTAATGAATGAAATGTAGGAGGATAGCTAAGTAAGAATGACACATGTTGCACGCTGCAAGTGGTATTTAATTCTCTTTTGAATAACCATGGGCAGAGTCAGGTGGGTACCGTGAGATGTTAGGGGTGTTTCAGGATCTGTTGTTGGCTGCTCTTAAGAGTCTTTGTGAAGATCAATTGTCACGGTACCTTCAGTTATGCCACTTTCTCTCTTTTCCCTTTCTCTCCTCCAGTTTATCCCACGAGGAGCACTCACACAGCCATCCGCTCTACGGACACGGCGTATGCAAATGGCCGGGCTGTGAAGCAGTATGTGAAGACTTCCAGTCGTTTCTAAAGTAAGGATGGTTTTTTTGGCACTTGTATTGTACAAAAAGCATGCCCTGAAATTTTGTGTCCTGTCACTCACCGTGGGCCTGATGCAAAGCCCATTGAAGTCAACAGAGAGCTCCCTTTCACTTCAGTGGCTTTTGGATCAGGCTCAAGAACGTTTTAACAGGGGATAGTAAATTAGCCCCATGGGGGAAGTATGGTCTTGCTCAGTGTATTACTATAAAATAGTGTTTGCAGTTCCGCAGCCCTTTTTTTTCTTTATTTAGATTATTTTTAAGTTGCAGTATTGCTAATGTTAACAATACAACCTTGATTTAACCTTGATTTCACTTTAATTTAGAATTTTAGTTTTAAGTTAACTCCATAATTGAACAGAGGATTGCAGAACATCACGTGAAATTTAATTTATGTCAAATAAGTAACTAATGAACAAAGTCTACGCCACTAAAAATAAACTATAATTATATTAATTGGGCCCCTGCAGTTTGCTGCAGACCTTTCCTTGCTGCCAAAGAACACAGTTTTACACGTTGCATAAACAGTGCATTATGGACTAGTATGTGGTAATGCGTGCATCCCAATGCAGGGAAGGACCGACAGACCTCTAATAACTTACACATGGCTGTTCCACAGCTTAACCATCAGCCTCACCCCTCCAAGCTGGAGCAAAAAGTGTTGCCATCACAAAAGTGTTTTCTGTCTGGGTAGAACCACCAGGTACACATATGCTTTGGGTACATCCAGGTTCTTGAAGGTTTAGGCACTGATCTTTTCTCAAGTACTATGACTGGTTGTAAGATCAGGAAAGACCGACTGTGCAAGCCATGTTTATGATAAATGCACAAAGGGACAAATTCTGCTCCCGTTTCCAGTGGTGATGTCATGAAGTTAGCTCACATAAATACATGGGATTCTTCAGGATGAATTAGTCATTAGAATTAGTCCCAAAATGTTCAGCTCTCTCTATTCTTTTGGGGGCAGTTCCCTGGATTTTTGTGTGAGGGAGTGGAGGGTGACAGCAAGCAGAGGATGTTTGTTGGATAATGTTAGTTGATCAGATAGGTTTTTGCTCTCAGAACAGAATGGGACAGTTCTGCTTCCACTGGCAAAACCCTCCTGAATTCTGTAGGAGCAGCGCTGGTCCTAGTGTAAACAAATGTTACAAATAAGGAACGGTACCGTAATGAGAAGGTTCTCATTACAAGAGGATTACAAAATAAGAAGGTGCTAGTCATAAATTTCCATGAAGGGTGGCCTCATTTCTTTTAATTCATCCTGTTCACTTAAGTGAAATAAATGCTAATCTTGCCATACTTGCCAGCTCATTCATATTCATATGCCATACTATAGCATTTAGACCTTTAAAACAATTCTAATTTTTATTGCACTTAATCCAAGGGAAAGGTGCTGTGGTAGCCTTAGATATTGGAATAACGTGTGTAGTCACATAAAGTCAGATTATGCCACCTTTGCTTCTTGTGCTAGTCCCCTGTTCCAGATTAGATCTGTTGGTTTCAGGAAGATTTCTTACAGAGCCAAGGGGCTGCTTGATGTGACCATGAGTAGAAAATAACAACCCTTTATTGCATGGGTAGAGGCAAGATTGCTATTTAGATGGTATTTTGGAGATGTTTCAGTAAGTAGACCAAGTCTACCAGTTCACCTGGAGAAGATACTTGGGTCAATCAATAGTTAGGAATAACCTGAAGACCATTCCCAGCCCAGGCTGGACCTGAAGCAGCTCCATCTACTCCCAGGGCCAACAATTCTGGTTCTTGTTATCACTCACTCATCATCACTCTGGTTTTTTTTCCCCCATTGAAACCTTTCAACAGAAATAATTTGTGTGACTTTCTTAAACCCATCGGCTCGTGTAAATTTTCTCATTATCCAAATTCTGCAGTGTCCAGACAAAGTCTTATTGTTCAGAGTGATATTTAACCCAGAACAAATGCAGAAATGAATGTCCCCGAGCAGTGTATTGAGACTGTTGGAAAGTGAGTGTTGCTTCATAAAATGAGACCATAGCCTTCCAAGTCTCCTGTGGAGCATCTGTCCTTAAATTATATTGTCATTTATCAGAATTCATTACTCAATGAAAAGATAACAGGTAGATGCTTGAAGTTTCTTTCTGATACTTGTATAATCTGTGAAGCTTTTTCCACAATCCCCTCAAGAGAAAAGCTCTTGTTTACCAAGTGAAATACAGTCCGTGTATCAATTGAGCATTGCTTAATTTCACTTGCCTCGGTAAAAAGGCCCCTTAGAAAAAGCAAAGAGAAGTTACATGCGGAATGAAAGCTCCGTATGCCAATAAAATGATTCTACAGTTGAGGGAGAAAAAAGGACTCGCAGGTCTAAAACATGGTTCATTTCTTTTCCTCCTGAGGAAGAAATATCATAACTGTTGGTAAATCAAAACCAGAGATTTGACACTCTTCTGTGATCGTTCTGTAGTGTTTGTTCCCAAGGTGAGGTACACCACAGGGCCCTTGATTTCAAAGATAAATACTGTACAAATAACGATCCTAGTTGTCTTTCACTCACAGCCAACAGGAGGATGCTTATCAGAACCAGCAGATACACGGACTATTGTACGCATTTATTTCCCTATTCCTTTTTGAAATAAGTTGCAGTTTTAGCTTTGTGGGTTTGGGGGTTTTTTTTGTTGGTTTTTTTTTTGGTTTGTTTTTTTTTTAATCCATCAGCCATTGGTTATCATGTGATGCGGTATCAGTTAGAGCTAACTGATAGCAGCAGGGGCTGCTGCTAAGCCTAATGAAACAGTAGCACCCTGCATGCTCCAGAATACTCCCCAAGCCCAAAAACAAAAACAAGTCCAATCTCACCAGGGTGACCTGATGGCCTTCTGCCAACCTGCGGGAAGCAAGGTGAGGGCTGGAGGGTGCACACGTGTCTCGCGTGTTAACCAGGGCCCGTCTCGCAGGCGGCAACGAATGGAGCAATTAGTAGCACAGAGCGGCTTTCCTTCAAAATTGACTATATCCTTGATTTCATTTGCATGTGTTTAATGTTGCAGATTGAAATATATACCCCTTAGACGGCAAGTCGTTCAGGAAATCCCTGCTAGAGGGAGGGTGGTTTATTCAGCAAGGTATCAAGGCACCCAGGGCAAAAAATGGAGGAGACCGAGTAAGGTTTTATTCCACCCCTCCAGGTTTTTGTTTTTTTAAAAAAAAATTCTTGTGGTTTAGATGTACTTAATCGTGGCTGTACCATTTTTATATCAAATATATTCTTTGAAAGAGAGACACAGACCTTTGGAGAGATCTTGCAATCCTACATTGCAGTGATGCTGGTAATCTGCTTCATGTGAATTCAACTTTGATGAAACGAAAGGGAGTTTATGTGAAAGAAACGACTAAGTGCAGTCTGTAATGTTTTCACAAGTGTTTTTATCATGGTAACATCTTGTTTACTTTAGTTGCCTGCCTAAAACTACTTGGAACATGTTAAGAAAACATTTCGAGAAAGCTTCTACAAAGAGGCTTTTGTTTAGCAGCAACTGTGAGACTGCTCGGCTCACAAAGGTGTTAACTTTCAACCCCTTAAGCACTTCCACATGAAATTCCAGCAACTATGTTTGTGGTTTTGGAAAAACAAAGTGTATATTAAAGAAACCAGGTATATGCTAATACATGTTGAAATAGGCCGGAAATCATAAATTGTTTCAAAGGCATTAATTGCTATCATTTGCATGTCAAAATGTTCCGCAGTGAAATCATCTGCAGTTAGCACAACAGAGACTTTTTTAATCAAATCGGGAGCAAGGGCAGAGAAAAGGCTAGTCTATAGATGTCTTTTTAGATTTTTATTTTTCTTAAAAAAATTCCTGGCAGGCCCAATTAAACTCCCCAGCTATGGAAAGGTGCTGGCGTGGGGATGTGCCAGCAGCCGGAGCACCCATCGCGCTCCCAAGGAGACCCGTCTCAGCGCTCCGGGATGCACCCATGCTTCTTTCCCGAACCCACCACCCATGTCAAGTTGCCGTTCAAATGTCGACTGTTTTATCATTTCTTTTACAACCTCCCGATTAACCTGCTGCCATGGCAGGGGAGAGGAGACCTGTGCGGTGGTGGCCAGGGTGGCCCAAATCCCACAGTGCCCTCTAGTGCTGTTGGGATGCCGGCAGGGAAAGGTCCCAGCGAGGAACCCAAAAAGGAACATCCCCTTCCAGAGCCAGCCCCGCATCCTTCCTCTCCTGAGCCGATGAAAAAGCAGGCCAGCTCAAATGTAATTTTTAGTTTTACACATGTACATAACTATTTTTACTCTCAGAGTGAACATTCACCTTCTTCCAGAAAATATCTCGCCCGCTACACGCGATGAAATATTTTTGCGCATGGCGTATACGTAGCGAGGCACGTTGTCTTGCATTATTGCATTTTATATCTTAAGGTGCACTTAGTTTATGTTTCACATTATAATTTCCGGTGTGTAATCAGAAAGCATTACTTAAGAGACAAGGATCATCTTTGTTTCATACTTTTATTGACACTGTCTACCGTATTACTGTGATGTCTAAATGGTAAAATTTATTATTAGCAATAGTGTCACAAAAGTCTGAGACAGCGATTTTCCTTTCAATAAAAGTAGTTAAAAACCTTTTAGAAAATCCATAATTTTGATTGCTGGTACTTCATAAATGTATAACTGGTACTTTTTAGCTGTCTCTTTAGGGAAAAATGAGTTTTATCACCTGCAGTACCTGGGTTAATGAAATTGTGTGTTGGAATTTAGCCAGAATGAAAGATGAGATCATTCGGTGGCACTAATACTGGCAACAGGTCTCATAAAAAAGGTTTGACTCTTTTTAGAGAAGTATCATTAGTTTTTTTCTTTTTTTTCTGAGGATGGGGGCGAGATTTGAGTTATTTGT